GACGAATTTCTGTAGTATGTCTCTATGTTGATGATATGATTTATATGGGTTCTAGTGAGTTTATAATTGCTGAGTTTAAGGCTGCATGTTGAAAAAAGTTGAAATGATAGACTTAGGTTTGTTACATTATTTTCTTGGTATTGAAGTAATGCAAGTTGTGGATGGGATCTTTATTTCACAAAGAAAATATGCAATGGATCTTTTGAAGAAGTTCAATATGCTGAACTGCAAAAAGGAAGTCACACCCATGAATATAAATGAAAAATTAAGTTAAGATGATGGTGCTGGAAGTGTGAATGTAACATATTTCAGGAGTCTTGTTGGAGGCTTGAACTATTTGTCTCATACTAGACCGGATATTGCTTTCTCTATTGGAGTTGTGTCCAAATTTATGCATAATCCAAGCAAGCTACATCTTGGAGCTACAAAGAGAATTTTAAGATATATAACAAGAACTGCAGAGTTGGGAATTTGGTACTCTAAGGTATTGACTTTTAAACTAATAGGTTTCACTGATAGTGATCATGCAGGTTGTATCGATGATAGAAAAAGCACGTCTGGATTTTTGTTCAATCTTGGATCAGGAGCAATTTCATGGAGTTCAAAGAAGTAGGAGGTGGTAGCATTATCATCATCAGAGGCTGAATATATTGCAGCAACAGCATTAGCCAGTCAAGCAGTTTAACTAAGGAGACTTCTTGTTGATTTTGATCAGAAGCAAGCTGGAGCAACAGAGATCTTGTGTGATAGCATGTCAGCTGTTACAATGATGAAGAATCAAGTTTACCACAGCAGAACAAAACACATTAACGTTCGTTATCACTTCATTTGGAGGCTTGTTACAAGTGAAGAAATCATGTTAAAATCTTATAATACAAAGGAATAAGTTGTTGATATACTGACAAAGGCGCTTCCATTGGAAAAGCATGAGAATTTCAGAAAAATTATGGGAGTTAGTAACTTTGAATCAAGGGGGAGTGTTGAAATGTAATTCAAAATTTGAATGAGTCTTTATCTTATCTGTTAGTTTTCTAGATTTAAGCAAGTTTCTTTTACAGTTACAAATAGGTAGCAGAGTAGTGGGATTAGTTGTGGGATTTGATGACGGTTTTTTTTAACTTTATTTGTTTTATGTAAGCCTATATATAGAGGCTCTTTTTGCTTGTTTTATGTAGACTGGAATCAGAAGAAAAGGTTTACAGGTTCTGCTACGTTTGCTTTTCCTGCTCTAGTTTTTTTTTGCTTTTATCTTTTTCCATCAAATCTCCATCGTGGGTCTAATATTGGTCCTTCCTTTCTAAAATGTTCTGGTAAATTTTTTTTTTACATTGTTCTCGTTATTCCCTCACTCATTGCTATCTCATCTCACTAAAGGATAACTAAAGAAAATTTTTGTTCAATTGAGTTTGATTCTTTTAGTTTTATGGCAATATCCTCAATACTTGGACACTTATTCTCAAATGCAGTTGCTCGAGAGATTTATATTCTTTTCCACCTACTAATTTTGTTCCTCACTCTTACATTTATCCACCGTGTGCTATTGTCTCACAGTCTCTTAATTCTTGCCATAGTCTTTTGGGGTATTGTAATTCTTTTGTCTTATTTATAATTAAATAGGTTACCTTAACCTTTTACTGATATATGAAGTCAACTCTTTTCATTGTGAGTCTAACTTGACAGGAAAAAACATTCGGCTTTCTTTTCTTAAGTAATCGGTCCGTGTTAATTAATTATTTCTCAATATAGATTTTGATGTTTGCACCTCCTCAACTCTTTCCTTCTCTGGTTGTCAATATTTGTTCTCTTTCTGGATTAATATTTTCACTTCATAGGAGCCTTTTCCATATAATAAATATCTCATGTTTTATTATACTTGCTAAACTTTTATGATTTTGGTGTCAACTCAATTTGGGTGCAAAATTAAGCAGTTTTAATGTGATGGTGGTGATATATTTGTCAAGACTACTTTCAGACTTTTGCTATATGAAATTACCTTATCCTTATACTCCATAGCAAAATGATATTACTGAGTGTGTCTATAGAATTATCATAAATATGATTCATAAACTCTCTTCAAGCCTTGGTGGCATCTTTTTTTTTTGTTAAGTCTTTGAAAACTTCCATCCATGTCATTAACAAATTTTCTTATTTGTCAATTCAAAATTTTACTTCATTTGAGCTCCTCTACCAAAAAAGACCTACTTATAATATGTGGGTGGTTGGTTGTATTTATTACCCCTATTATCTTCTCATATTAATGATAAGTTTAATCATTGGACTACTAAATGTGCTTTTATTGGATATTCAGACAATTATAACGTTTATTTTTTACTATTGTTACTCCAAAGGTGATTGTTTCTTGACATGTGGGTTTTTGTGAACAAGAGTTTTATTATGTTAAGGACTCGACTACATTCTCTCCCTCACCATCAGATATTGATGTAGGCCAAGATGGCATGGAAGACATGGAATACCTTTCTTGCGAGCAAGCCTGCAAACAAGCAAACCGTGAGCTAGCTAATTACTGCAAAGAAGGAGATCATGCCCACACCCGCAAGCAAGAAGAATCACCCAAAGAAGGAGGATGTGCCTGCGCTCGCGACCAATGAGAAACCTATGGGCTTGAGGATTTCTGTGGGATGGGTTATTCCCGCTCCCATAAAGAATCCCACAGCTTGGACAAAGGAGGAAATGTAGATTTTGGCAACTACAACACTTGGACATTGAAGATGATGGACTTAGACAACTTGGAAAGAGAGTTATGATGTCCAATGGGCCAATCACAAGATCAAGGTATAAAAAGTTCCAACGAACCTTCCAATTGTTTGTGCAAGATTTGATTAATGAAGAAGAATGTAAGTCAAAGTCCAAGAAAAGAGCCCATGGCTTATTCAGCCTTGAAGGAGGTCGGCCAAGTGTCCTCCTCACTTTTAGAGGACTTGACTGAGAAATAGGGGAAGGAGAGGGTCCTTCCCGCGAGGGAAACCTTCCCCCATGAGGAAACTTCCTGAACTTGCGCGCTTGGAAGGAAGAAGTCTTGGTGAAATTGAATTCCCAATCCCAATTGCTTTAGGATTTGCAGCAACAAGGAATATGGAGACGGTGAGCTACCTTAAGAGTCCTACACGAATTCTATATTTCATAAATTCATATTTTATGAAAGTAGAATCATAAAAGATAAAGGAAAGATCAAGAAGAGGAAAATTCTAGTCCTAACCGAATTCCTCTTTGGAATTCTAGAGAAAAAGTTTGGTTTCTATTTAATTTTGGACACCTCTTGGATCAACTTAAACACAAACACTTCAACCACAAATTAATTAATTAATTGAAAGCCTAATTCGAATGCTAGATGGATAACAAGTTTGGCCACACAAATGATTCTTTTCCAAGATAGAAGTCTTTTAATTCTACTTGTTTTATGTCTTTTTAATTCATATTTTAATAGTTTCCTAGTTGAGATTGCAATTAAAATTATTTTAGGATTTCGTTTCTGAATTCTAGTAGAATTAGTAAGTTTTTATGCCTATATAAAGAGGCTTACTCTTTAGGTTGTAATCACTTCAATTCAATCAATAATATTCAAGTTTAATTACAAGCTTCAAGCTCTATGAGTGCTTGTAGAGAGGTTATTCAACTGATTTGTTGAGTTAAGAATTGAATTTACTTATCGAGGTAATCTTGTGGCGTTCTTTCAATTCTATTTTTTTCCAGTTACTTTACTTTTTATTCGCAAGTTGAGTGTGGGGTTAAGTATGGAGGATTTAGTTAGTGATTTAAGTTTTATATATTAAACTTATATATGGAGTTTTGAATTGCATGTGTTGTTCTGGGTTCTGCATCAAATACTGTGTTTGACCTGCCAATTACTTCTAAGACCTCTTTATTTCCTAAGAGTATCCTAAATCTATAATTATCTACTGCAAACATGGTACTCTTTTACCTTATCCTCAACCAAAACCTATCATCAACAAAATTTTTTTTGATACAAAAATTGTCCCTCAACCTCTACAAATCTCAACAACTGTTAGTCCTTTTTCATTTTCTCCTATCACATGCTCACTTGAAGTCACACGAGATATCTAGATCGAAAGTCAATAATGGATTTCTTGTTGCCACTGCATCTTCTAATTTTCCTGATTAATGCAAATTCTACATAGCTATTAAATCTCTAATGAAGACAGGCTATCACAATTGAGTTTGATGTTTTGGGCAATAACACTTAGCAATTGATTCCACCACTACTAAGAGCTAAGATTGTTTGATGTTGTTGGGTATATAAGGTTAAAGAGAAGGTTAGTGGTTCGCAAGAGCGTCATAAAGCCTATTTAGTTGCTCAAAGGTTTTGGCAATATCCCAGTCTTGATATGATGAAACATATAGTTCTATTGTCAAGTTATCTATCATTCATACTATTCTATCAAATATGACCTCCCACAATTATCCTATTCATCAAATTGATGTGAATATCATATTCATCCGTGGCATTCTTAAAAACGATGTTTATATGAAGCACCTCATACAATTGATAGCTTCATATCTATAGACTCAATAGTTTACTTTTAAACAACTCCTTCAAGCATATTATCAATGTTTGGTATTCTTTTTTCCTACTCAAGATTCCACCTTAAGTAGAGCAAATAATTTTATATTTATGTTAGAAAATTGCTCATGACTTCGGATATGAGAAGAGAAAGAGAGAAAGAATAAAGAAAAGAATAGAGATTTTATTAGGTAA